GGAAATACCATACATTATTATGTCTATTTTATCTGTCATTAATCTTAGGTAATTGTTCTTTTCCTCAGGGTGACCTTATATTATGAAACGGTGCAAAAATCGAAAAATAATTACAAAAAAGTTCGAAGAAAAGCTGCTCCCACCAAAATTGCGATACAGGGGTTATTCGTAGTGGGGAATCATTTGGTGATAGTGGAAAAATCACCAGTTGGCTGCTGGTCCCGGAAATGCAATATTTTAGGGTGACCTTATAGTTATGAAACGCACTGTATAGACTTCCCAAAATGGCGTATACAAGGGATACGAAAAGGGGCAAACTTCGCGGCCAAACAACGATATCATTAACAGTAGCGGTCAAAAGTGTTCGCCGAAACGATTTTTACATTATTTTTTCTCGCTTGAGCAACGCCCTCCAAAGATTGATATACTATGTTTTCTAGTGTTTTTATATCCTCAAGTCAAAGAATCAGGATATTCAAAAGAAAAATTTTTCGAGGCCACCATTGATTTTTTTCTGCAAAAAAAACACCAAAAACGTTTCGGCGAACACTTTTGACCGCTACTGTATATATAGGTATTTTATCCATTCTATTAATAACTATCACATGTTATTATCTGTATTACTTTATTTCCGTTTGTAAGTTATGAAAGTCATAATTTTAAAAGGAATATCCACATTTGCTAAGAACGCTTAATCAACAATATCTTCCGCTATGAACGCTGAGAAAAGTTCACCTGGTTCGTTTTCAGATTCGAATATTACAGGCTGAAGGTTATCGCAACATTCTCTTACCATAAATGCACTTGATTCCATCAGTCACTGCGAACGTTCCAATCACGAAAATGAGCAGCGTTTTCGTGCGAGACATTCCTCAGCCGTTGAAGTTCTTCTGCAAGGACGTGCGGTCGCAAAAAGTGCAGTGATCGAACTCTGTTTAGAAGGAAGGGCGTCAATGATAAAGCAGTTGATAAACGACCAACTGTGTCCACCAGTAAGCAATTTGATGAGTAGCACAGGTACTCGGTCACTTGAAAGCTCCTTATCTGACTGTTTTGAGTGTTTGATTGAGCAACAAATGTGATGTGGTGTAAATAGCGGTGACAAATAAGCTATAAAAGTAAGCATTGGGATGATTGCTTATTTTTATAGTTTATTTGTACTATATTGTATAGCGTATAATACCTCACTTGATTGAAGATATATCATGGAAAGTTTTCTCCGCGATGGTGCTAATCGGCGAAGGACTCAAAGGCTCGAGGTTTCTTCCTTGAACTGTTTCGTTCCGATAACCCTTGCTTGTCGAGGACTATCACAGTGAAAACTGAATGTTTCGAAACGCCTGCACTTTCCCTTCATGCTCTATGAGACCGAACCGCCGATGGCTTTTTTCGCAACATTCTTTTCCAACAGCCTCGATGGTCTAATCTCGAGAAAAACTGGCAACTGTTCTCTTTGATAAGCAGCTATCGTCCACCAGTTAAGGACAGAAGGAACAAATTATGAACGCATGTCCTGAACTACAACGGTCTTGGAAACGGCATCTGATGTGGTCTGTGTCCCTTCTTAATCAATAATTTCTTATCGAAAATTTTCATGATGATTTTACATAGCACAGCCTACGCCCCCATCTTCAGACCTTGTCTATCCAGCGATGTATGTTTGATGCAGTTTATCCCATACCTCATATCAAATGCACGTCACTTCCTACCCCAAATCTCGGACCAGGTTCTGTCGGGACCTCGCTGTGGCTTCGTAAGGAACGCTGACCACATAGGTGCCGTGCCAGCGAGGCGAGCGCATTTCTAGCTTTATTTAAACCAACTAATAAAATCATAACACAGCCCACAGTAACCTATTGTCTTTATAACATTAGGCAGAACCGTTGCTACTTCTCTTTTATTGCCTGACCATTACCAAAATGGCTTTAGCGATCGTCTCACACCCTGGGCAGGGTCAACCCTATCGTTGTTACTCTTCGGAAATTTTTTACGACCCCCCCCCCTTCAGGGGTGGTTTGATACGACCCCCCCCTTTGTATGTAACACTTGTGTAGAGACAGTGTTTACCATCAATATTTATTTCTACGTAAGTCATTAAAGATGAAACTTTAGCAAAATCCACGACAGAAATTCATCGCTGCTTGCAAACACGAAAAAATGAGATGCATTCAAAGATATCCGTGTACTCCAAAGGGTTACCAAACTAGGAGATGAAAATAAGCTGAACCAGTGACCGTAATATTGACAACATTACCTGATAAAAACTTATGAGAAGTCAGAAAAAATTATCGCTCCAATTGAAATACTGAAATCCTTCACGTTCTTCAATTGCAACACAATTTTTACACCCCTCTTTCTAAGGCTATAACTTCCTTCATATTCGAGCTTCTGCGCCGAAGTGATTTGATTTGGAAAATTCAAATTATTCTCTCTCCAACCATGGTAAAAATTCTTCGAAAGTTAATTTAATAAAAATTTAGTACGTTGTTACTTTTTTCTGTGCAAAGCGACTTTTTGACCTTCAAACGATCATAACTTCTTCAAAGTCACTTCATTTGGGAAGCTGAACACGTATAATAAACTACAGGATTCAAGCTTTCTAACGAGCACCCAAGCGTTCCTGAAAGATCAGTAGTTCAAAAATTAGTCCCGTTGTTACTTTTTTGGGGGTTTGCGTTACTATTTTTTTGGAACCGCGACTTTTTGACCTTCAAACGATCATAACTTCCTTCAAAGTCATTCATTTGGGAAGCTGAACACGGTGTAATAAACCACAGGTTTCAAGCTTTCTAACGAGCACCCAAGCGTTTCTGAAAGATCAGCAGTTCAAAAATTAGCCCGTTGTTACTTTTTATTTTGTGGGGTATTCTTCAAGCCATTTTCTCGAAAACGCGAGTTTTCTTAGGTTTCACTGCCCGTAACTTCTTGGAAGACCAATTTTATGTTTAATTAAGGATGTGCTAGAAAGCTCCGAGCATGCGCTTGCACTACATCCCTTGCCTTGGTGCGCGCCACGCCTCGGGCGCCCTTCTAATTCGCTGATTCATTTGAAAGCTCATTTAGAGGGAATCGTGGTTTATAGATGCTGTATCAGTCATCTTACGAAAACGTAACGTGCTGGCTATTATCCGATATTACCAAGAATCCCACTGTCGGCCACCGAGAGGGTACGACCCCCCTCCCTCCAAGCTCAACTGAGTACGACCCCCCGTTGTTACTCGTAACAACGTAGGGTTGACCCTGCTTGGGACACCATAACACATAATAGGCATAATGAAGGACAAACGAGAGCAAGGCATCTTTGTCTGAAAAACATAGTCCCATGTCCCCCCCTGCTAAACTTGCCGTCTTCTTCCAGCGATTCTCAGATAGTGCCAAACTAATAAGAGACACAACGTCTTGAAGCACATGGACAGACGTATAGAATGGCACACAGGTTCGCGCTTTATATACAGGGGGACGTGCACAATAAACCACTCTCTCAAAACATTTGAAACAAAATTGATTACCCTTTGATAAATTCAAACTAAATCATACCAACTGCATATGGAAGGGCACATCCCATTTAGCAAAAAAACTTCATAACAGCCTTCTATTCCGACGAAAACAGGAGAATCTGCCACGGGAAGATGGTGCACAATTCGAGCCCAGCGAGCCAGGATCGTGGACCATAGCTAGTCGAAAGGCTGGTCGAAAAGGGTCTTGCACATCCACGGCTTCTGTCTCTAGAAAGTTATCTATCAGCTAACTAATTGAGGTATTAAAATTATGGATTATTCAGGCTGGAGCGGTTACGGTAGGCCTCCTTTGGCTCGAGGGCCATGGCAGGCCATTCTGACTCTGGGAAACACTCTGAGAGGGTGAGGGCAAGTAGCGGAGTGCCTACTTTTGCTTATGGGGGACATTAAAGGAATATTTTGCCGTACAACTTCCATGAACGACGACTCCCCGTCGACGAAAGGTTTAGTAATGTTCACCGTGTGCGAAATTACTTTTTGCTCCCCTCCCCCCTAAGGACTACAAACCGGTTTATTCATGTACAGTGCTTCACAGCTGCGAACGTTAATCATCCTTGATAATAACACTGCTTGTATTAACCCAGTTCATGAGATTTCAACGTGGGTTACTAACCGGCTGTGGGTCACATGAAATATGAGAATGTACGTGATTTAGAATTTACCTTTCTCGGTGGGGTCTCGAAAACGCTAGAGAAAATGGAGCGCTTGATGGATTGGAACGTAAGTCTTAACCTTGAATTAGGCCTCAGAAAACGATTTTTTCGAAACGTTAACCCGAACCGGCCGAACTAATAAATGTTCCCACCTATAAACCTCGTACGGCACAAACAACAACACAAATGCATGATTTAGAATTTTTATTTTTGAAGTGCTATTTCTGTTTGAGACATTTCCACCAAATTTACAAGAGACAAGTAGTAAGTACTGTAATTACTGCCAAAAGATTTAGCAGGTGTGAACTGTTGCACAAATCTGTCGAGCAGCAGCATATCTCCTTCGTGAGCGACAGGTCTGTATGGCATCCATTTTCCTAAAAGCAGGGACTGGTTTCATTTCGGTTTTCTCATAGTCGGTTTTCTCTCATCAACTCGAAGCACGTGTAGTCATTTCAAGCCATTTTATGGGTCCAATTGGTTTACATGGCGCTGCGATTTTGAGTGATATCAGTATGTGTAGCGCATTCCGACTGAGGATTGTGCAATGACAAAGCTTTATCTTTGTTGTCTTTGTGGCGGAACCGAATCTTTTTCAAATAAGAATTGGTAAATTGTAAAGGCTTCATAGCCGAAGTGAAGCTCCTGGAGCAATGCTTCTTAATTCAATAGTGAAACTATTGCAATGAAAAAGAACGGTCCGCATAAAGTTTCAAGAAATGCTAGAGGAGTATCGTTCACGCACCTGAGCCGGCGATCTTTCAGTGGATAGGTTCTCTTGGCTCAAGGGGGAAATTACACGGGCAAAGGTGGAGGGAATCTAATTTAGTAGCGAGAGCGAGGCGGATTCCTGAAGGTTGCAGACCGACCGCATAGAAGAATATGGCCACGAGGCAGTCTGACATGGTCTTCCTCTGACCACGTCGGCGCGCCATTGGCTCGGCATGCCTCCCCCTCGCCTCGTCTCGTTCTGAGTCTCTAGGCGTTTATCAGAGGGAGCGTTACCGTTGGAGAGGGCAGCACCGATGCGAGTCGCATCAATACGCAATTCAACGGGCAAGGAAGGGGTCCCACTTTCCGGGTTCTTGCATACTTTTTGTGATTTTGGTATTTTTTGTTCGTCTTTCGTGCATTACTGGGCCATATTGGAACTTAACCAATGAGCCTGACGCTTTTGATCGTAATATCCGCCGCTAAAATGCATTACCGATTATCCATTGATTTTTTATTTTCTTGAGAACGAACGAAAAGATGCTAAATGGATCGATGGTTGGGGAAAAGAAACCAACCTTAAACCGAGAATAAGGGCTCGCCTTTGTTCAGGCTCCAAAGGAACATCGGAGGCAAACAGTCGGACTAGGCAAGTTGGCGGTGAGGAGGAGGAGGAGGAATTTGGAGAAGAGAGGAGCGATGAATATGATCGACGGTAGGCTCCAGCTTCTGAACATCTCGATTATCTTGAGCGAGGGGTGTTTGCGTTTTGAAGATATCACACGCGTTGCTAAAGGGTGCCGAAAATATGAGAGGCGGCGTTTGACGTTGCTGAGCACTCAGCCCGTGGAATTGTCATATTGAGAGTGTTTCAGAATTCTTTGAAAGCTTCGAACCTGTGTAACGAAGCATCATAAGTTGTTTGATCCGGAGTTTATCTGAACTCTCGCCATGAAGATTTTTTTTGCATCGACTCATTACCAAGAGGCTGCCCAATGACGGTCTCTGGAATTGCAACTTCGGGAAGCGACTAAGTATTCCCTCTTCGCACTACTTCTGGACAGTGGTCGGTGCTCTCGACGCTTCAAAATGTCTCCGGCGGGTAGCGAAAAGTGGAAGTTCAAGAACTATGCACACTCAGGGAATTGGGGCAATCACTTAGAAGAGGATGGTTCACAACGATGGAGCCAGCGTGAATCACATCGTCGAGCTCTGGATTTACCGTCATTCTTTCCAGAAAATCTTGGGAAGCAGTCATTATTTGAAAAGGTTACCGACACTTTCTATGCTGGTTTTTACCGGAGCAACCTGAATAGGTTCAACTGATGAAATGCAAAAGTTTCTGCACGAGCTCGAGCTTTTATGGATTGGGTTAATGAGAGAATTTTCGTGAAATAATTTTCTTTGCGACCACCAAAGTCAGAGGCAGTTGTTGCCAAAAAGTGAGAGCAAGTCTCCGAGATAACGTCTAGTTTACAACAGACTTTCTCCCGAAGGTGTGGTAGTTTGTGACGGGGTAACATCCAAAAGTGCAGCTCCATTGGAGTTCATCTTCCACAAATGTTAAAATTAACTCGAAGGTCTTGCAAAAGACTTTAATGAGGTACGGTATGTTGTTCTGGATTTACGAGCATTTTGCTCAATGATCGTTTGCTCTTCAATGAAGCTGGGCTCCCTAATACGCGTTCAAATCACTTTAATGAGGTACGGTATGTTGTTCTGGATTTACGAGCATTTTGCTCAATGATCGTTTGCTCTTCAATGAAGCTGGGCTCCCTAATACGCGTTCAAATCGACCAAAGCCATCCTGGGCGCTCACTTCCCGGGCCACTGGAGCAAGGAATTGTGACCTTCTTCCTCTCAGGCCCTTAACCCGATGGACTCCTCTATGTGAGGATGTTGTAGAGCAAGACCTCATAAGACTTCTCCAGCTCGGTGGGTGCTCTGAAGTTAGCGCTTCAGAAGAGGTGGGACGACATCGCCGTTGGCTACCTGCGGCGCACTGCTGATTTTGTCGTTGGACGTCAGAAGGCCTCTCTCAAAGCAGAGTCGTCAAATTCAAAGCACCTTCTGCACAAGTGATCAAATAGCTTAACTCTATCTTTGTGTGAAGTCGGTTTCCTGATCGAGTCTCTTTCTTGGCTTTTACACACAAAAACATGGCGTCCTATACTTTTCGGCCACCCTGTATTTTTTGATCGCACAGTATCTCATTTCTCACCTTGCAAGTGCCATCGTCGCAGCCGTACACCTTTGGAGACTCGTAATTTAAGGCTGAGACTATCCTGAACATCAACGATTACAAAGGATGTTGATCAGTGCAAAGCTATTAAAGGAACACATATAGTCTGAACTTTGCATGAGAAAAACGTAAACATGTGGTATCAGTGGTTTGTTTTGATTGACTTTTTGAAGGCAGCATACTGAATGTGAATTGCAGCTAATGAATATGACATAAAATATTCGAATGGCTCTCACCTGATGCAATACTTAGAGCCCTGTATCGTACAATTCTCTGTCGCCGTGGGAGGTTTACCATTGCAAACAGTTACACCTTTAAAGAATTAATGCGTTTTTATGGGGGTTGTTGCTTGCATCTATGCATCTATGAAAAGTAAATAAAATCCAAAGAAAAGCGTAGGGGTGTGTAGCAACAGAATCGTCCGGAGCCCCGCGCTTGTGGTCGCGGCCGCGACGTCGCGACTGTAGTGGACGAGTTGAGCGTCATTCGATTTCTCACAGGGGCTACCCCGACTCCTCCCTTTAACATTTTAGGCTCATAACATGGCCGGCGGAAGCCATCTGAAGCCGGTAGGGGAATGTGCTTAATCAGTTAATGCGGCTGAGTCGCTGTCTTGGTTTTTGAATGATTCCATAACGAAACTTGTATTACAGGAGTATGCTGACCAACTCGGAATTTATTCACACCACGGGCGCCGTCTCCTCCGCCCTCGCGTACCTGAAATTTCAATTAAACTATTGATCTTGATCCCTTAAGACCGCACGAGCCGTCAGCAATGAAGCGGGCCTAAAATAAGAAGAAAATAAAACGTTAAAGTTGACGGGCCAGCGCCAAAAGGCTTAATGTGGACGGCAGCAAATCTGTCGCTCCAATCGACAAAGTCTACTGTTGCCGCGCCCATCGAAAAGGTGCCGCGCTCTCCAACTCCAGTTTTTTGGGGATTTTTTTTTTTTTTTTTTTTAAGCGCCGTGGACTATGGTCTTCGGGATTTCTTTCTCAACTCTAGACCAGACTACATCTTGCACGTAATTCCGAACAGTGGCTTTAATAAAATTTCCACACTCGTATTCGCAACATAACCTGGTTAGCACATGCAGACTCGAGTGATGCCTGCTCAGCTGCTTGCTATAAAAAAAATATATACGCGAGCACTTGCAAGTCCACAGAGGCCATAACTTCACTTGAAACAATTTGATTACACAAAGATATGAAGGCGAAATGAAGCTGAAAGTAGAGCGTACAATCAAAGAAAGAAGGCCTATCGCCAAACAGTTCTGCCCAAAAAAAGTCAGAAGTTAGAGTCAGAGTTAAAAAAGTCAAAGTTCAAAAGTGAAGTCTTGATAATACTCTCGACAGAACTTGCTGGAGGGTTACAGTGAAGGCCCAACATGCGGCAAACAGGTCTTCTCACCTTCAGGTGGCGCTGCGTGCTCGGCATAGCTATGCAAGCTATTTAACCCAGTTAAACTCGCATCTTTGCCTGGATATACTGAAAAGGTCTACATGAATTGTTCTCCAGTACATATTTCCTTGCCTTCTTCCATCATTGATGACATGAGTCATAGTCCGATTCCTGTCCCTTGAAAACCTGAACAGTCCTACACTTTTGACCTCAGAAAAATTGCGACGTAAACTACCGCTAAAATGGTACACTAGGCCGGTAGCCCAGTTTGCCGTTGTGCCTCGGCATGTTCGCCGCGCGGTGGGCCTTATCGTTGACATCTCTAGCGGTTCCCGTAAAGGAGGAATCCAGATGAGATTGAAGGTTGAAAAAGGGGAAGCTTATCTAGCGGAAAGCGTGGCGGACCTTCTAAGGATGACCGCCTCGCAATTCGCAGCGAAAGACCCGACGATCTAGCATTATCCTCATCGCGGCGCTATCGGCGCGGTACGCCCTCAGACTTGGCTAACCACTCCCCGCAGGTCTCCAACTGTCCAGCAGTTCAGCGTTGGAGAGGCCACACCGGAGAGTAGCATCGACGTGAAAATCAACGAGCTAGGAAGAGTTCCCATTTCTGGGCCCTCTCTCATGGTTTTTTTTTCATCGGGGCACTACGTAGTGATTACCTCTAACCTGTTGGTCTAATGGGCTGCCTTCTGATCGTTAACTCCAACTTTCGAGGAACTTTCGAAGATCATCGGACATACATCTCTGTTAAATGAGATTTACGCAAAAGTGACTAACAAAAAGAGTGGACTGAATTTGCGATGGCTTGCCACTTCAAACGGCGGCGTTATCAAATAGGTCTCAAATAGAAAAACATTTCCATTGACCACTCATCCGAAATGTACACAAAAGGTCACTCTGGCACCACAAGCATCGCTTAGCGATTCTGTAGTGATCAACCGAATTCTAAAGAAATTTGAAAAGACCTTCTTCCCAAAAGTAAACACAATTTCTTGAAGAAGATCCATGCCAGAGGCATGTTCTTGCCTTTAGAACTGCGGTAACTGTTTTGGCTATTGGTGGTTGTTCCTTCTCAAAATAACAAAAGACTTCTTGAAACCTAGGCATTCTAAGGAATGCGTTATTTCTTGCGTGCCGTACAGTTTACTATCGTGAAAGCCCTCCAGTGGTCAATATTGCGTCAATTCGTCATCTTCAGGACCAGTGGGTCCATCGGTTAAAAACAGTCTCCTCGTTTAGTGAAAAAATTTTGTTATTAAAAATATTTCGTCTAAAAATATCTTATTTGCTCATTATTTTATTTGCTTATAATATTATTTATTTATTTTTTGTTTTGTGTTTTTATTCGTTGTTTTTAATATAATCTTTTTTGTTTGTTCACTAACACGAGGAGACTGTTATGGACTGGTGGACTCGCAAGTCCTGAAGATGAAATGTCAGAACATTGATCAGTAAACGGTCCACCACAACTACCTGTACTGCACCGAAGGAATTGCCGAATAACCGAAAAAAAAACCTTGGGAAAACCTTAGCAATTCATTTTTTCCTTTCTAGATATTGACCAAACTGTTGCGAATGTTCAGCTCCAAAAATCGCCTGGCTATTCCGCTTTTTTGCACATGCGAATTTCAACATGTGAGCGTCCTTAACCTCATTCTAATCCACTTGACTTTTGGCAGATCTCCAAAGAAGGCCTGAATGGAAACGACGAGATTCTAGTTTCCGAGAAAGTGCTGAAACTTTTTGAAATATCACTTCCAAAAAATATTTTCATTGCTCCGTTCCTTCATAAATTTTTGGACAATTTTCTTTCGTGAAGCACGTGTTTTGGACATCTGAACACCCATACGTTTCTTTAAAAAGGCACAGCGGGAAGCGGTAAGAACCATTGAATCGAGAGAAAGCCTTTCTTGGTGGAAGAATTCCCTAGTGGGATCTATGAATCAATCGCCGAATTTGTCGCACTTTACTCCGCTTTTTGGCCTAAGAACATGATTGCTCTGCAAGAATCTGTTTACTCGCGCTTACTGGATGGTAAAGTTTTGGTGAGAGATCCCTATCTGGGATGCGCCATATAGTCGTCGGTGGTTAGCAGTCGCAGTGGTATTCGAATGTCTGTGTTCTTTTGCCACTGCAATCTGCCCTCAGATTCTGTGACTGGTCCTTGAGCTTACGACCTCCCTTCTAGTGACCATATACGACCCCCTTTGATCTTTGCGTAACGAACGGTTGTCCTGATCCAAGTATAACATAGAGTGTGGAAAGGCGCGGAGCTCGTTTAAGATGGCAAGGTCACGTTCTCCACACGAATGGCAGCATTGTACATAAGATCAACATCGATCATGAGATGCCCGGAAGCGGTCTGAAGGTCGCCCAAAGCAGAGCTGACGTGATACGCTGCATGAGGAATATAGTCACATAGCACCCACCCTGATCAGGCATTTACATGCACAGGACGCGATTAAATACTTAGATTCTCTCCTTGAGTGAGATAGAGGACTCATGCACAATGGCGGCGGTACTTTCGCGACAATGGAGCTAACGCCTTAGCTTGAGCGCCGCAACCGCTGCCATTCTTATCAATCGCAGC